CGTCCGCTCCTTGAGTGTGATAAAGCGGTTCGCGTCCTTGGTAACCGATATCGGTTCCACGAACGGAAAGGGTGCCCGTGCTTCGAAGTTAACTTTGACGGGCCCATCATTGATTTTCGGCGGTTCCTGAACCAGCGTTACCGGTCACCCTTCCGCCCTAAATCCATCGGCTCCAGTGTTGGTGTCGTCGGTTCCACCTGAGATAGTTGGTCTCGTCAGTTCCGAGTGTGTGATAAAGTGGTTCACGTCCTTGGTAACCGATATCGGTTCCACAAACAAAAAGGGTGCCCGTTCTTTGAAATTAACTTCGACGGCCCCATCATTGATTCTCGGCGTTTCCGTATCGCGGTTACTAGTCCCCCCTCCCCCCTCAAAAATCAATCGGCTCTGTCATTGTTCTCGTCGGTTCCACCTGAGATAGTTGGTCTCGTCCGCTCCTTGTGTGTGATAAGGCGGTTCGCATGCTTGGTAACCGATATCGGTTCCACGAACGGAAAGGGTGCCCGTGCTTCGAAGTTAACTTTGACGGGCTCATCATTGATTTTCGGCGGTTCCCGAACCACGATTACCAGTCCCCCTCTCCTATAAATTTGTCGGCTTCGTCATTTGTCTTGTCGGATCCACTCCCAGCATCAACCGGTTCCGGTTCTTCATGATATATTTCCTCGGTTCCGAGTGTGTGATTAATCGGTTATTCACACAATCTTTACGGCCCCAAAAATCAGAATCAACCAGGCTTAAATGCCATCATTCATGCAAAACGTTGTCTCGTGCATTCGCCGCAACGGTAATGTGTACGCTTGGCGCGGATGGCTGCCTGTCTCGCGCTAGAGAGGACGAAAACGCTCAGAAGAAAATATTTTTTCTGGGTAAGCTTGTGAGTTGTGACGACATGAATTGATACCCCACTGGTTATAAAAAGGCTGCAAGACTCTTTCATGGACTCGTCCACTCCACACACAAAGCCACATCACAGGCTCTCCAGAGAGCGCGCATGCAATGTCACTGCTCACAATGTCGTCCGGGAGCCATGGCAGCTCTGCCTCTTCTCGTTTCCGGAGCGGAGGTACCTCTCCCATCCCATACCGCGTGCACCCCATGGATTACGAGCCTTCCGTTAACTGCTACTGCAGCCGAAAGGCTTCGCTCCTAACCTCGTGGACCGACGCCAATCCCGGCCGGAGGTACCTGTGCTGTTCACGGGCGACGGTAAGTGAGATCTGACTCTTATAGCCATGACTTTATCTTCTGTGTGTGTTCTTGATATGATAATATTGTGTGGTATGGCAGCAGAGATGCGGGTTCTGGCGCTGGTTTGACCCGAGGGCTAGCCCTACCTTAGGCAGCTACTCCTCGATCAGCGAAGCGAGATCGTTCGCATAGACGGCGAGAACGCACTGCTGCACATGTCTCTGGAGCAAGCCCTGTGCAAAGCAAGGCGCCGACAGAGCTTCAGCTCGCGGCTCGTTGCGATTCTAATGATGGTAATTATGTTCTTCATCTGCGTCTTGGCTTGGTCTGGTGTACCGTCTGCTTGATCTTTGCATCTGTCATTTCGATGGTCATAAGTTATTTAGGTCCTAAGGCGAGTAATCAAGGCTATGAAAACACCCAAAAAAATGTTTCTCGAAACTGTGTGGTGGTGGGTGCGTTACTAATGAGAGTGAAACTTGTATTAGACTCTGTGTGAGTGTTGTATGCTGCAAATCGTGTCCATTAAGACTGGAGTGTGCCGGCTGTTCCATTATGTTGTTAGTATAAATAATCATCAAGGTGTTTTCCATGGTATCTCGGTCAAAAGCACGGTAGCTCTGCTGCGTGTCATCAGACTGTACAAGGTGTAAGCGCTGACCCTGCGCGTTCTGTGGTGCTGCGGCCTCTGATCGACAACCGACAGCTCGTGATCATCATATCCATCTTGGCTAGCTCTCAGTTATACTTTCGGAGCGTGCGAGTGTTTTCCGGCAAACTGTGGTCTGTGGGCGCGCAGTGTATGACGTGAGTCCGTTGCCACACAAAACAAAAACATACTGTATTCGCTGTGTACGCTCGTATCGTCGAGAGACTTGCCGCACGCAAGAACGCGACGCATCGTGGTCTGGCTGCCTACGTGGGCGTGTCTTCTCCCTCGCGGCGCTCGTGTTTATCAAAAGCCACATGTATCGGTCGTGTCTAGGTCGTGGCTTATCGGTCGTTGTTAATTCTGTCGAGTGTGTCCATGGCATTTGTATCACCGTTTCGTTCCTGCATCTTATCAACTTTTTTTTCTTTGAGAATTTTTTCATTCAAATCACAAAGCAGTAAAAAGTAGTTGATCTTTACGTGCACACTGAAACGCAAATACAAAGGACTATGAGCACCTAGAGTACCCTAAAACAACCATAATACAAGAAGATCTTCGGAGCCCCGTGTCATCATCTTTGAATTTTGAGAGAAGACCCCTGCAGTAGAAGGATTTGCAACCAAGCGCAAGCAGGTCATCATCTTCGACCACGGTACAATTGCCGCCACGCTGCTTACTCCTTTCTTGACACCAGCACTCAGAGGGTATGGACATCAATCCAACACACCTGCAACAGCCGTCGCCATCTTTGGCGTTGAGTACCGCGAAAAGTGTCCCTTTCGGAAGGAAGAGAAGTCGAGTCATCCGACCGGTATAGCACCGCGGTCGGGCCATCCGCCCGGACAAAGCAGGATCTCCCACCAGCATCGGCGCAGAGGAAGGAGAAGAACAGTAGCAGCAAATCATACCGACAAGGAAGAAGAAGGGTCTTCGTCTCCCTGCATCCATCGCCCATCTGAGGACCCAAACGGCCAGTGCCAATGGACCTCCATCCACCATAGCCTGCGACCTCGACGAGATTCGGGGATCCCCCACCCACCACCCCGCTGGCTCCTAGACGAAGGCAAAAGCCTCGCCTGACCGCGAACGAAGTCCGGAGAAACTTATTCCGACGCGACACCACCGCAACGGCCTCGGCAGCATCTCCCTCAACCTTAATCCTACCATACACCTACCAAGCGAACAACCCCGAGGTTTCCCCTCCCTCCTGCCGCCGGAGCGGCCGGCGGAGAGAGAGGGAACCGGCGGCATGCAAGGGAACCCTCGTTGCCTCCCTAGATCGCCTCGTGCGATCCTACTTTTTCGGAGCGGAGCGAAAGCAATCGGCCGATCAAAAAACAAGTAACATTCCTGCATCTTACCAACTGGTGTGTGTGATTTCTAACGTGTTATTTTTTGTGGTTAAGTAAACACAATCCGACCCATTGGCCTGCATGCCGCGCCTCCATAGGCCAGATCGAACTTTCTTTTTTTATTCTGGCCAGATGGAACTTAGGGTCGAAATAGTCCACTTTGTCTATGTGTCCATGTGTTACCTGGTGACCAAAAAAATGAACGAAAACGTAAATCGTGACTTTAAAAACTCTAAAGCGTTCGCACCGTAAACACGAATCGTGGGAGTCTGTGTCGTGAGATGCCCGTATTACCACGTACGACCACGTCTATGCAAAAACGATACTCAGTACGTAATGCCCACGATTTGTACGATATTTTTTTGTAAAGGAATCCCAAATTATTATGGAGACAAAAAAAGCACTGCGTGGTCGGGGTCCCCGGCATGCCGCTTTCGGTGGGCGTCTGAAAACTAAAAAGCCGTGGTGTCGCTAATCATTTTTGTGCGTCCTCGTTTGGCATCTACAACACCAATTGCTGAACGGGGATCTGCCAAAAGACGCACCCTAGTTGAAGCTCGTCTCCATCGCCATGCTCGGTAGTGGCGGCTGGAATGGATAAC